GTCTTAAACTGTGCCAAGGGTGCGTTGGTGCGAACCCCCATGGGGTCAAAGTGGGTTCGACTCACTCTGTATCCAGCGTCGGACAGATAGGTCAGGAACTTATTTAACCTGGGCAAAACCAACAGGAAACAAACCCACACGGTTAGAAACAGCTCAGTGCTGGTAAGGCTGGCAGAATAGGAGTGGAGTTTCCAGGCCCTTACTTTGGCATGTTCATCCCTTTGATGCTGTGCCGGTGGATGTTGTAGTAGAACGCAGGGTGCTCAGCACTGTGCTCAGCCTTCTGCCTCTTCACTGCACTGCGAAGCACCTCCTCAGTTTTTCTCTTCCCTGTGCCACAGCAAACACCAGAGGAACCAGTCAATGAATCACAGAATCAACCAGGCTGGAAGAGACCTCCAAGATCGAGTCCAACCCTCCCGTGGTCACTAGCCCATGGCACTAAGTGCCACATCCAGTCTCAGCTTGAAAACCTCCAGGGATGGGGAATCCACCACCTCCCTGGGCAGCACATTCCAATGCCTGATCACCCTAAAAAATCTCTTCCTAATATCCAACCTAACCCTCCCCTGGCAGAGCTTGAGTCTGTGCCCTCTTGTCCTGCTGCTGGGAGATTGCTCAAGGAGACCCCAAAAGCTGCCAGTGAAGCCTAAAAGCCAAGCCACACAGCAGCTTCACCTCTGCCTGCTTTTACAACTAGTATTTGCAGAGTTATAATCCAGCCTGAATTTAATTCACAGGTCACTTCAGTCATCACAAGCAAACGAGTCCCAGGGAGTATTTGGCATTCTGCTTGGACCAGTAAATATCTTACTTTTATCTTCAGATAAAGTAAAACTGGTATTCACTGGGAAAAAAACTTAAGTGTAAGAAGAAAAATGTGGAAGTGAGGTTGGCTTAGGCATCACTTAAACCATATGAAACTGCTACACCAAAATGATGCACTTACCAGGTACCAAGTAGGATTCTGTAGAAGCTTTCGGTGTTTTAATATATACTCCACACTCTTCTGGAATACAATTAAAAATCCATTAATCCTGCTGTGAGTCAGTGAAGTGGTGCAGTGCCTTGATTCAGGAGCCAGCCCTTCTCCTTACCTTGTTTGTTCTCATCACCAGCACTGGGGGTAGTAAAATGTTTTAAAGTTGTGCACTCTGCTTCGGAAACCAACGTCTTCAGCAGGGGCTGAGTCTCATCCAAGCCATACTGCACAGCCTCCACGAGCATTCTCCTGAGGAATCCAGTGTTGAACAGAGCTCCTGACCTGGGACATGCAGCAGGGAGAAGTTAAGACTCCTTAGTGAAAGCAAAAAAGCTGCTCTAACAATCTCTTGCCCAAATTGATCAGCAGTTATGTTAACACTGAGGTGCTGCATCAGGCTGAGAGTGTTTTTGATTTACCAAAGCTGAACTGCTTTGTTTGCAATGACAGTAACATCAGTCTGGGTAAAAATGAAATCAGGATTTGGTGAGACACTGTCCCAGGTTGCCCAGGGAGGCTGTGGCTGCCCCAACCCTGGCAGTGTTCACAGCCAGGTTGGATGAGCCTTGAGCAACCTGCTCTGGTGGGAGGTGTCCCTGCCCAGGGCAGGGCTTGGGGCTGGATCATCTCTAAGCTCCATCCCAACCCCTAAATTCTATGATTCTATGATCTCAAGTATGGCAGAAACCAAATAACCACTGTAGACAAGTTCATGTAACCCCCACCAGAAAGGTACTGTCAATTGCCAATCATTTCTAAGGCTGATCTGAAATGGTTAGAAGACCTAAGCAGCTTTACTTTTGTTTGTCACAAGTATTAATCACCAAGCAGTGCAGTATTTATCACCACATGAAAGGATTTACTAAGTGAATTCTCCACAAGTATAGAGTAAAAAAGAGTTGCTTAACATTTGGCAAGTGGAGGAACACAGAGGCAGGTTCTTCTTACATTCCCTAAGTGCACTGAATGTGGAATTTAAAGTGAGCTTGTTATTATTTATAACTCACTGGAACAAAAGCAAAAACTGAACATCCTACTAAATTCATAGAGTCATAGAATCAACCAGTCCAACCCTCCCGTGGTCACTAGCCCATGGCACTAAGTGCCACATCCAGTCTCAGCTTGAAAACCTCCAGGGATGGGGAATCCACCACCTCCCTGGGCAGCACATTCCAGGCTGAACCCCCCCAACTCCCTCAGCCTCTCCTCATGGCACTTGTGCTCAGTCCCTTCCCCAGCCTCGTTGCTCTGCTCTGGACCTGCTCCAGCCCCTCAATGTCCCTCCTGAGCTGAGGGCCCAGAACTGAGCACAGGATTCAAGGTGTGGCCTCCCCAGCACCGAGTGCAGGGGCAGAATCACCTCCTGGTCCTGCTGACCACACTGTCCCTGCTCCAGCCCAGGATGCCATTGGCCTTCTTGGCCCCCTGAGCACACTGCTGGCTCCTCGGCAGCTCCTGTCTCTCCACACTCCCAGGTTCCTTTCTGCCTGGTGCTCTGCAGCCACTCTGTCCCCAGCCATCAAATCCATGATGTGTCTCCTGAATTCCTCCTGATTGCTGTAACTCCTTCTGTAGTGCTAACATACCCAGCAGACTTGCATTTCTATGACAGGACTGAAGCCAAAATGAGTCTCCAGATCTGAACTTACCAGAGAGGACCCAGAACCACTGCTGTCTTCCCAGGCATACTGCCATGGCAGTCACAGGGCAGCTGCTGGTAAGGGTTTTCTACAACAGAAAAAGAGGATTTTGAGTTGATCTGAACCAGCCAGGAGTGCAAATGGAGAGACACACAGAGATGCAGCAGTAGCTGACTGCAGTGAAGGGATTTGAAGGGCAACAGCACAAGTGTGACACTGCTCTCACTTCTGCCAAGCAGCTTATGATGAGGATTTAGCGACTGATGACTTGATCTTTAATCAGTGTTAAAACACTGAAGGGGAAAAAAAAGCCACATAACCTCCTGTCTGTTTCAAGCCACAAGGAAAGGATTCTCCTTCCTACACTTCTGTCAGTAGCTGTGCAGGTGAACAGAAATCTCAACCAAAAATTTTCACACATGGCCAGCAAATTACACCCACAAAGCACAGCCCATCTGCAAGTTTCCTAAGGTCTAAGTGAGCTTGCTGGAAATTAAGGCATTTAGTAAACACCTAACTACAGATCACATTATTCACTGTACTTACTTGTTACTCATTCCCACCCTTAAAACTTGATCTGGTTTTTAAAACTTGTTTGAATACCAAGCTCATCACCTGACAGAGAGCAGAGCAGCCGAGGACACACCAGTTAATAGTGAGGTGTCCAAGAGCCTCTAATTTTGAAACCAGGTTTTAAGGCTTTTCTATTCACTCAAACCCCCATCTGGCTAGTAACTACCTCCTGGTGTAATTTTTGTCTCCTGCCTCTGCTAAGCTGTGTATGGAGACAGCCCATGATCAACAGGACAGAAAAGTGAGACTGTTTAGTCCACTACATTTGAAGGAACTGGAATGAACAGCAGAAGAGGAACTGCAGTGACAGGACAAGGAGTAATGGCTACAAATTTAAAGGGGAAATTTAGATTAGATATCAGGCAGAATTTTTTCCCTGTTCTGGTGGTGAGACACTGTCCCAGGGTGCCCAGGGAGGCTGTGGCTGCCCCAACCCTGGCAGTGTTCACAGCCAGGTTGGATGAGCCTTGAGCAACCTGCTCTGGTGGGAGGTGTCTCTGCCCAGGGCAGGGGGGTAATGATCTGTAAGGTCCATTCCAATCCCTTAACATTCTATGGTTCTATGAAAAGCAACCTGACACCCAAATCTATCCAGCTGCTGCTGTCTGGAGGAACTCAGTGGCAGCCCAGGCTGCCCCACTCTTCATGGCCTCTCCTGAAAAGGCAGATCCATGCCATGCCAAGCATCCTGGCAGCTGCAGCAGCTACAGCTAGCTGGGAGAATGCCCTGCCCAGAAGCAAATCACAGAATCCCAGAATGGTCTGGGTTGAAAGGGACTTTAAAGCCCATTCAGTTCCACTCCCTGCCCTGACTAGGGACACCTCCCACCAGCCCAGGCTGCTCCAAGCCCCATCCAACCTGGCCTGGAACACTCCCAGGGATGGAGCAGCCACAATCTGGTCCACAAACCCAGTCCCTTTACAGCAAAATCCAAGCAGACAAATCCAACCCACGAGCACACAGCACAGTGCCTTCTCCAGCTCATACACAGCACTCCCTGGTACCATCAAGGGAACTGTTAAAGGGCTGTAAGTACTAAGAAGGCCTAAACAAGCAGAAAACTGAGAGACAGGAATCAAACCCTCTGGGATGTTAAAATGAAAGGCATTTACCTTCTAGCATGTTCCCCTCTTTCTGAAAGATCCTCTCTTCACACCACTGGCAGTGGATGAGGTATCGGATTTTCTTGGCCGAATCATCCGCAGGTGTTGGGCCCCGCAAAACTCTGACCACCACCAGCACAAAGTGTTCCAGGGCTACTGCCAGCAGCACCTCAATGCCTTTGTTACAGCGAGCTGCAGCTCTGGGGAGGAAAAACAAACCAACCCAACTGAGCTCAGCAGGCAAACACTGCCACACACACATCCACCTGCTGCAAGACTCTTGGGCTCGTCCACTCTCTAGAGGTGCTAAAGGTCTGAGAGAGTGACCAGGAAATGCTGTTCCTCAAATGCCTTGCTGTGTCCTTCCTGTCAGGCCGTGCAAAACTTGTTTTCCTTCTTTTTGTCACATCTAGATGGTCTAGCACCACCTCACCTATGCAGGGAGGTAGAGAAGTGAAACCTAAACCTCTTCAGGTCACTATTTGTGCTCTGTTGTTCTCCAGACCTCTTTGCACTTTGTTTCCTTCCTATCTATCCCAAGCAGTTGTCCCATCCTCTTGCCTGTGTGTTTCTTTCCCCAATTAGGTTTTATGTCTTCATTTATTTAACAGACTGAATTTACTGAGAGCATCTCTATGCAAACGAGTCATTTCACATGTCAGTGACTATATTTGTCTTCTGAACCTCAAGCACAAGGACCTGAAGTGAACATCAGGTTGCACTGAAGCAAGTCTAACTGCAGTGCTTAGCAAGAAGCCATTCAAGGAGTTTAATTAGCATCTATAGAGTCCTGTGCAGCTCTAAACTGACAAAACTGGCAGAGGAATAGAAGAGTTTGCACGCCTGGGTATTACTTTTTCTATCACCATCCCACCCCTGACCCTACTGCTGCATTTGCACCTTGCCCAGCCACTAATTATTGCTAACAACTACCTCCTTGGTTTGTTCACCTGGAGCTGGTTTTTTTTCAGCAGTACCTTGTCACAGCAGCAATGACAATTCTAGCTGCCAGCTCCCTGTAGTACTCTGTTCTGACAATGGTGCCCCCATAGTGTCTCAGGGCCACGTGCTGAGCCTTTGCATACAGAGAGCTGATGTCTGTGGATGTCAGAGACACAATGCCAAGGTTCCTCACATTCCTGAAGGCAGAATCCAGGTAGTTCACAGAAGTTCCATAGGGGTCCAGATGGCTGAAAAGAAAGTACCACTGAGTTCAGCTTTACACTGAGGAAGACACTGGTTTATAACCTTCACCTGTGGTCATGTTGAAAAGAAGAAGAGGAAACAGGACTAAAAGCTTCCATCACACCTCTCATAAGCTACTCTGGAGAGCCTAAGTGTCACACTGCCAGAGCCAGGGAGGCTGGAAAATACACACCACAAAACCTGCAAGCAGCTTTTCCTGCATCCTGACCTGCTGATCAATTCTAGTCCTAAGAAGTTGTAAAACTTTAGTTATAAGAATTTCAGCCTGTAACCTTTGCCCTTACAGCCAAAAATATCTGTTTCACTAATTAATTAGCCTAATTTTCAGTCTCAACACCAGCTGCTTAGATCTGGATGTTAATCAATAATAATATAAAAAAAATCCCATCACTTCCTTTGGTGTTTGTGTAGGATTTGAATGCAACATCTATCAACCCAACCTAGAAGAATGAGCCTACTCCAACTGATAACTGATATGCTGCAAACTGGATAAAAACAAGAGATGCAACCAAGTCCTCCACAACATGCAAAGGTAAGAATTTTAAACTAAGAAAAATCTTAAGGAAAAGACTAATTTGACATTTCTCTTTATCAAAAAGACAGTGAAATTGTAAAAATAAACCAAACCAGTTTGGCTTAAAATTTTCATGTGTATTTACAGTCCATTCTGGATGTCAGAAGGGCAATAATTTTCCAGCAATTTCTAAAAGATTAAAGTCCTGTTCCCCCACCTTTTCTGGCACAGTGGAATTACATTTACAACACCAAGTGGCTATTGGTTGACTCTTTCATTCTAACTTCTCCACATAATCACACACTGGGGGCTAGGGTTGTGTCACTGTCTAACCAGAATACTTTGACAGAAACATGCACCACTTACATAAAATCAAATGCTCTCAAATGCATGATCACATTGGCATCCATTTTTGTCACCTCGATGATGTCAGTGCTTTCTTCTCCATCTCCCATGGCTTCAACATGGTCCTCCTCCTTCGTGTTCAGCTTCACCTTCATTTTGTTTAAGTGACAGTTTTCCTTAATCATTGTCACGGAATTTTCATTGCAGTCATTAATTGTGACTTTCACAGAACTCTGGAGGTGCTTGGCCCACTGCAGTCCCATTATACCTGAGGGAAAACAGAACTGGAGCTGTGGGTATGGAAAGGGACCTCAGCCACCTTTTGGGATGATGATTGGGGTTATAGACCAGAAGGCCTGTGATTGTTACACTGAGCTGCACCCTCAGGAAAAACCCTTGGCTTAGCACTCCAGTGTGGCACAGACCACTGGGAAACCCAGATCTCCTCAGATTTTTGTTCCAGATGTTTAGCAGACACTGATGCAACTACTCCATATCTGTGTTCAGAATTTTTGTAATCAATTCAGAGAGAACTGTGATAAAGAACCTTGGATTCGTCCCCATTTACAAACCACAGGTTGATTTTACAGCCAAATTCCACAGCCACGGAGCCATGAGGGAGCTGTGAACTGGGACACAAGCTTAGGAAGATGCCATTTCATGGATATTAAGGCAAGAAACCACCAAGCTTTGATTTAATGCTGTTTATAGCCCCTTGAAAAGGCTTAGCACCAGGCTCCTAACAGCTGCTTTTTTGGATGGAGGCTAATCACTGCCTGCCTGAGGGAGAAAATCCCCCAGGGAGAAATTCTCCTCAGGGAGAAAATTCACATTATTTATGACTATGTGATCTCAGTTACCACTGGTTTCTGCAACTTCCTGCCATTGGCTAGTAACCAAAATATTAAAGGAAAGTACTTTACCAGTGGCCCCAAAAGCATCCAAACACTCAATGGGTTTACGTTCCTCGGCGAGCACGGCCAGGGCACAGAATATCAACTGTCTTGGAAGAGAAAAGAATGGTCAGGTAAGTAGGTTGAGAAAAGGTTTGTTCCTTCCTTTTCCTCATTTATTTCCCTTGGATTGAACAGTAGAACACTTAAGCTAAACCCTCTCTGTTACAAGGAAGAACGTCAGTTACGCTTAGAAGTTTAACTCCGCAGGAACATGTTCTTAAGGGAAGAGCTAATCACAGAACAATACTTGATTGCTTCAGAAATGACAATATTTCCCATATAGTGCTCATGGAGTTCTCTGATGAGAAAAAAACTCCTCCCTCCTGCCCTCTGAACAACAGCTTCAGGGCCATGAAGTTG